GCAGCCTCAGTTATTTTTTTCCTTTAGGAATATAACAGGAAAAGATATAACGGGGAAAAAATAACAGACTTACGGGCCGGATGAGCAGGTGAAAATAAAGGAGGAAACCTAAAAAGAGAAAACGAATGCAGCCGCCACATCTGAGGACTGGTAAGCTGCAGGATATGACATTTTTACTTTTGGGTTTAGAATTTGTTTTTACCTGTCAGCGTTCCTAATACACAGAACTGGAATGGGGGGGACACTGTTAGCAAGGGACCTGGGTTGTTAGCGAGGGGGCTAGGTTATACTGGGAGAGGTGCTCTCTGGGGCTGGGGCCCCATGTATGGTACTGGAATGGGGGACACACTGTTAGCGAGGGGGCTAGGTTATACTGGGAGAGGTGCTCTCTGGGGCTGGGGCCCCATGTATGGTACTGGAATGGGGGACACACTGTTAGCGAGGGGACTGGGTTATACTGGGAGAGGTGCTCTCTGGGGCTGGGGCCCCATGTATGGTACTGGAATGGGGGGACACTGTTAGCGAGGGGCCTGGGTTATACCGGGAGAGGTGCTCTCTGGGGCCCCATGTATCGTACTGGAATGGGGGACACACTGTTAGCGAGGGGCCTGGGTTATACTGGGAGAGGTGCTCTCTGGGGCCCCATGTATGGTACTGGAATAGGGGGGACACTGTTAGCGAGGGGACTGGGTTATACTGGGAGAGGTACTCTCTGGGGCTGGGGCCCCATGTATGGTACTGGAATGGGGGAATACTGTTAGCGAGGGGCCCGGGTTATACTGGGAGAGGTGCTCTATGGGGCTGGGGCCCCATGTATGGTACTGGAATGGGGGACACACTGTTAGCGAGGGGCCTGGGTTATACCAGGAGAGGTGCTCTCTGGGGCCCCATGTATGGTACTGGAATGGGGGGGACACACTGTTAGCGAGGGGCCTGGGTTATACCGGGAGAGGTGCTCTCTGAGGCTGGGGCCCCATGTATGGTACTGGAATGGGGGACACACTGTTAGCGAGGGGCCTGGGTTATACTAGGAGAGGTGCTCTCTGGGGCCCCATGTATGGTACTGGAATGGGGGGGACACACTGTTAGCGAGGGGCCTGGGTTATACCGGGAGAGGTGCTCTCTG